CACTCCACACACACAATCTACTGTCTCACACCGCCGGACACACTCCACACACACAATCTACTGTCTCAAAACACATGAATATATGCCAGGAATGTACAGATATAAAGGTACAAGGGATACGGGAATACATACTGGATTACGCAGGATCAAGAGCACTTGTAATGGGCAGATCTTACCAGCGTCTTACTGGTTTCCCACCTTTGTTAGCTCCTAAGTGCTTTACACAACCTGTTCATCACTGTTTCCTGGAACTAAAGCCTGCAGCTATTTATAGACACCTGTAGGACAGACTCACATGAACAGGATATCCCACAGGTGGTGGGCAAACATGTACACACACAGACGCGGGCACATCGAGTCTCTTTACACACACAACGACATCCTCCCACTGACATCGCCCCTGCACACTTGCGTCTGAGCGCAGGCAACGGAACATGTCTGCGTCACCCTCTGTTTTTATTCTTCTTTTCGGTGTGCCTGTGACTTCCTGGATATCTGCTTTAACCTCTCCACCCCCACTCCCCGCACACACAGACACGCACTCCAACAGCACTGGCTGCTGCTGTTAATGAACCCGGCACACTGTCTGCAAGTCCCCCGGTCCACAGGCCAGCCTGCTTCCTATACTCTAAAATGGGCCGAAAATATGCGTTTGATACGTATTCATGTAATATACTCGTGTATTTAAAAAGCTTTAATGGCATTTGTGATGGATTTCAATGCTGCCTAAACAGTAACAATCGGTAAACATTTACATTGAGGACAATGTCTTTATTATTATTGAGAGGCTCCCTCTCTGTTCCTCAGGCTGCACCAGGAGATCACACACAGTACCAGGCTGCAGCTCTGTTTATGTATAACATATATATCTATATTTATCTGTTTTCATCGCTGTGATGATCACGTGACTCACGGAGGAGCATCGTGTTTAAATGAGCTCCCCTGGGAAGGACAAGCCTCGAGACACAGTATAGTTGCACAACACTTCATATGCAACCTGTCCGCACAATCTACTGCTCAACACTTGTGGGCACATTCTGCATACACTGACACAGACACATACTGTACATCTACACACACATTACCCTGCCGAACACCTGTGGACATGTTCTGCACGCACAAATACACACATTCTACTGCTGATCACATTCTACACACGCATTACACTGCTCAACACTGCTTAGCTCATCCTGCACAATACACAAGCACACAACATCTGCTGAACACGGCTAAGCAGTGCTTGCCCATGTGACTGGCCAGGCTGAGCCCAGATTAACAGACTGAAAGATGGGGTAACTGGCCCTTTCCTCTGGGTCTGAGTTTAGATTACTGCCTGGAGATTTTTCTGCTCTAATCTGGAGGGTTTGCTGCTTCCGAAGAGGGAGGTGTTAAAATCCGTGGTCACTAGCCAACTGGCAGAGTGCGTGCCGAGAGGAGAAAGGGAGAGGGCGATGGAGTGCGAGAAGGGGAGAGGGAAGGATCTGGAGAGGGCAGCAGGAAGAAGGGGGAGGGAGGGAGGAGGAGAGAGTTCTGGTAGGATGTGCGGGTGATCCAATGACTGACACACCCTCCCACCAGGGAGTTCCCCTGCACACAGACCCACAGGGACGTATCCACAGACTCCAGGCAGGTAAGCAAGAGAGGAGGCTGCTCAACGCCTCCCACTCGTTTAGATTGCTAGTAGCTAATGCCTCTCATCGGCTTGTGTGGGAACAGGTACAAACGAGAGGCCATTCGGTCCATGTGGTCATTAGTAGCTAATTGATCTGAGGATCTCATCCACCCTTTTTTGTGAAAGTAGCCAGCGTATCGGTTTTAACAACACGGCCGGGTGACTTGTTCCATACTCCCACCACCCTTTGTGTAAAGATGCAAAGATGCGCCACCTGATCCAATCAGAGGGTCTCATCCTTCCCTTTCCAGAAATAAGCCAGGGTAATGGCTTCAATAACATGGCTGGGTAGCTTTCTCCATACTCCCACCACCCTTTGCGTAAAGAAGTGCCTCCTGTTCCCAATGCACTTCTCGGTACTTTTCAGTTGTGCTGTGGTTCATGTTTTACAGCCCCTCCTTGTCTAACAGTGGTCAAGGTGAAGGGGGATTTCAAAAAGGACCTAGCCAGAATCATGCCCCTTCATACACACATACCTGGGTTGGGGAAACATTAACAAGACCCCCCACTTTAAACAAATGGGGAACAAGGGTCAGTGGATGGAATATGGGTTATTGAAGGTTTGTGGAGGAGGTGGATTCAGTTTTCTAACGGACGTGAGTTAGTGGGTTAGGCACTTGGTCAAAGAAAACAGAGAAAGAATTTAGGAAAAACTCACCACCACCCCCTTATTCTACAGAACATCTACCCTGACACTGGGAGACCTGGACCTGAACCATGTTCCTCTATCGCACTACCTCTAAAAAAATAAAGGAAGAAAAAGGCATTGGGGTGAATCAGCCGTGATTCAGTGGAAGTCGTTTTATGAGAAATCGGGCTCGTTTTTAAGAAGCCCACAGTTTAATTACCGGGGATTTTATTACGAAAATCTGCTGCTGCCGCTTGTCCGCCGACTGCTGATGTCATCAAATCACACACACGCGTACACGGGGCGGGGGGGGTATCCCCAGAGCTCCACGTGCTGGCAGGCCTGGCAAGAGCGATGACGCCACTAACCATATATGGCTCGCCGACAAAGAGCGCCCGCCGCCATATATGGAAGTTCCGTCCGTGACGTTTTTTCCTTTTGTCAGGGGAAAAGAGGCGGGGCCCAGTGGGCAGGCTGCGCTTATAAAACTAAGGGCCCGCCCCACCCTCGCCTGTCTTTCACAGCTGTTACACTAAGGAGACAAAGGTCGAGAGGGGAAGACAGCCAGCCTCATCTGCGTGACATCAAGTATACTGTCCTGTACGCTGTCGTAGCTCTTAAATGGAGGCATAAACTTAAATACCGAGTTCATGAACAGTCCGTAGCAAAACAACCAACGTGAAAAAAATCACCTCTGCCATCAGTGGTCCACCACGTCTACATTAGTGAAGTAAATAAAAATAAACTGAAGTATATTGAAGGGGAAGGAGGTATCTTTTCCCCCCAAAAGAAAAAACAGTGAACACTACTTTCCAGAAGAGGAACACGGATTCGGGGGTCTGTTGTTGTTTTTTTTACCGTTAGTTTGCCCGTGATGGGAACGACCAACGTGCTGGATATTGAGGGCGGCGAGCTGGTCCATATTCTGCGGACGCCCCGCGACCACTTCTCGTCCGGCGGGTGCGTGGTGCTGGACTGCCGCCCCTTCCTCTCCTTCTCCCGGGTCCACGTCCGGGACTCCCGCAACGTCAACTGGAACTCCATGCTGCGGCGGAGGTCGAAGGGGTCGGCGGTGAGCCTGGAGTGGATCGTCCCGGACAAGGCGCTGCTCGCCCGCCTGCGCGGCGGGGAGTTCTCGCCGGTGGTGGTGCTGGACGAGGACAGCCGGTCCGTGAAGGACCTGAAAGCCGAGAGCCTGGCCAGCATGCTTCTGAACGCCCTGCACGGCGAGCTGGAGCCGGGCAAATCTCAGATCTGCTTTCTGCAAGGTACATCTCGCCTAATAATAATAATAATAATAATAATAATAATAATAATAAAACTACTGTTTCTAAATAACTACACAAATCCCAGTAAACGTTTTGAATTCGCCGCCTAGAAATTGTTTTCGCCGTATGTGAGTGTGTGGGTACGAATATAAAAAGTTCTTTAAAAAATAAAAGCTGTATTACTCTGTCGTTGGTTTATGGGCTAATTCTAAAATCATACGCCTTTCTCTGTTAAAGCGATCGGCAGCCGCAGTCTGTTTTACAGTGCTGTTCCGAGAACTGTCAATCAACATTCGGAAAGATGGAGAAATTAATTTAAGAATTACATTTATTCGATCGAATAAAGTCAGGTTTCCAGCGCTTATTGCGGTGGACCTCGTACATACTACGTTGCCTTAACGGAAATCAAGGCAAAAGTTTATTTCTAAATTAATAAACCTGATGGGTTTATAATATTCTGTTTCATAATATCGATTTAATACGTAAACGCTCAAATTCATTACGTTTCTGGTTAGTTTTAAAACTGTACAGAATTGTTTTATTAGTAGAATCGGTATTAGAATAAATCGAGTAGCAGATTGTTTTGTCATCAAAACGTCTTCGCATCTAAAGCTGAAATTTTAAACCCGTTTTTATTATGATTGGCAGCAAGTACAACTTGAGAATGAGCCGTCCGTTTCTGTGAGCCGAGAGTAATGAAGAAATAAATGCGTTCTAAACAAAGTTTCTTTTGTTAGACAGATTACTATATTTGTGCTCTCAACGCCAAGACTTCGTTTTCAAGTTTTTTTTATGTATTGTTAAACGGGCTGTGCGTATTTTAAACAGCTTCGCGTTTTATTGTAAAGCTTCAAGACGAATTCAACGTATTTTTTTAAACAAACATTTGAAAAAAATACGAAGGAACGAGTGATTTGTTCTGTAACTTAATAGCGTGGTCTTTCTCGCTCATTTTAGGGGGATTCGAGGGGTTCTTCGCCTTGTGCCCGGAGCTCTGTGTCCATTCCCCGGGTCTCTGCGGCGGTCCTGCCGCGCCCAGAGACGCCGAACCCGGCGTGTCCGGCAGGAGCACCCCGCTGTACGATCAGGTGAGCCGGGAGTGCGAGCACCTCACCGCATCTGCAGAGGAAACGATAATGCTTTGTGAAATGAAGTGTCGCAGTTCTGCTTTGGAAAGAACTCGGTCAGAATTAAAGGTCGATTAAAAGATGATCAAAAAACTATTTTATAATCATATACGAACTGTACGTCAATCTGTCAAACGGTTTTGCAGACTGACGTGGGCGTCGTGCTGTTGCTTTACTTCTGATATTACGTTAGCTAAATGTGTGTTTGTACTGTAGTTTAAGGGCAACCCTTACTTCGGAGTAGGTATTTAATATTTACCACTGAAATATGTATTACTCTAACTTTGAGACTGTGTTTTAATACCGAAAGCAAAATTAACAGAGTTATGAGCAAAATACTACAGCGCTAACAGCGGCAGTTCCAGCAGTTCAATATTATTGTACTAACTGCGATGTTCGTAAAGGCAACCCCAAAGATACCAGTATTTGTACTAAAAAAACAGTAACACAATTTGCTGTTTAAGTCATTAACACCTGTTTTTGTCTAAGAGGAGTCAGTTTCAAGCAAGAGAAATACGTTTGAAATTAAAATTTCACTGCCTTTTGCTGAATTGCTGAAATGACAACAGTGGTAATAATCGAGAAGATATCCAGCAACAGTAAAAGCCGTGATATCGGCGCTACTGTAAATATTGTTGCAGCAGCAGAACTAACGACGGCGTTAGTCAGTTGTGATAGCGAAAGCAAGCGCGGTGGAAAACGGAAATGGAAAACGGAGCGGGAGAAATAACGGAGTTGGTTTCTGCTGCCGTGTGATTGGCAGGACGGCCCCGTGGAGATCCTCCCCTTCCTGTACCTGGGCAGCGCCTGGCACTCCTCGCGGCGCGAGGCGCTGGCGGCGCGCGGCATCACGGCGGTGCTGAACGTCTCCTCCTCGTGCCCCAACCTGTTCGAGGGCGAGCTGCGCTACAAGACGCTGCCCGTGGAGGACAGCCTGGCGGCGGACATCAGCGCCACCTTCCCCGAGGCCATCGGCTTCATCGGTGAGTCGGGGAGGGCCGGTGCAGGGAGAAGGAAGATAATGATAATGTTGCTTTATTAGCCCTGTACAATTTCTTACATTAGGAATTCGTCTTTTCACATACCCCAGCTTGCTCTGCTTGCTCTGGGGTATGTGAAAAGATGGGAGAGGAGGGAGAGGGAGAAAAGCTTGTCTGTGTCAGTGCATCAGGGTCAGAGCACAGGGTCAGCCATTGTACAGTGCCCCTGGAGCAGCTGGGGTTAAGGGCCTTGCTCAGGAGCCTGACAGAGTGGGATTCCTCTGCCGGCTGTGGGATTTGAACCGGCAACCTTCCGGTCACAGGCACAGATCCTTAGCCACAGAGCCACCTCTCCGCCTGGGTCCGAATAAGGCGCCACGAAGAAACAGGCCCCAGAGGAAAGATACAGCCTAGAGGCAGGCAGAGAGAGCGATTGTAAGGCTGATTAATCAATAGGTGAATCAGGTAACCGTGGTGCCCCTTGATAGACAGAGTTATTCAGCTGTGATGATGATAGCAGGCTGCAACCCCTCTACAGTTCTGTAAACTCTCCCCCGCTCCTCCAGATGGGATGATTGTGTTCGTTTTGCGGACAGCCGGTAGGAGTTGTTACCCCAGTGCTTGTTGACTCATGTTGGGGCTCCCTGTGTGTTGCAGACTCGGTGAAGGAGAGCGGCGGCCGGGTTCTGGTCCATTGCCAGGCGGGCATCTCCCGCTCGGCCACCATCTGCCTGGCCTACCTCATCGTGTCGCGCCGCGTGCGCCTGGACGAGGCCTTCGCCTTCGTCAAGCAGCGGCGCGGCGTCATCTCGCCCAACCTGTCCTTCATGGGCCAGCTCCTGCAGTTCGAGACCGACGTGCTGTGCCACTGAGCGCGCCCTCCGCCGTCCCTCGCAACGCGGGCACCGGGGATAGGCAATGTGACCTCCTCCTCCTCTCTCCTGGGTCTCGTTACCGTCTCCGCGAGGCGCACGGGACAGCACTTCCTTCTCGGTTTCCGGCCCGGACCAGCCCGCTCATGTCGGTGTCCTGCGGGCAGTTCAGCCGGGAGGGGGGCTGGCGACAGAACAAAGCACTGACTGGCGGGTTTCTGGGAGGCGCGCGGGACTGGACGCGGACTGCTCCGGACGCTGCTGTTGAAGCAGGTTTTCCTGGGAGTCTTCAAGAACGGGGTACCGACGAGGGGAGGTGGGGTGATGGGTCTTCTCCGGCGACCAGACTGTCCTGTTTTCCCGAGGCCACGCAGACCGCGTGCTGGCGCGCGGGTCAGTCTGCGATGAGCGCTCGTTCGGGCCCCCGAGAGACAGTGGGCAGCCCTACCAGGATTCGAACCCGGGCCATTTCAGTATCCTGTCCCTGTGGGAATCTTTTTTTTTTGTTCCGGGGGGGGGGGAGACTTAAATTAGGGCTGTTTGAATGCGGGTGGACACGATTCACAATTCTCTGAGTTTTTACCAGAAATCTGGGACTGAAATGCCCTCGGAAGCTTGAACTGGAGACCACCCGAGCTGTTCAAACTGAGATACCGGACACAAGTCCTGGCTGCTTTGAGCTGTCTTCCATTGTTACATTGACGCCAATCAGACTGCGAGAAGGCTGTGCTGGGTCTGTCATCACCCATGTGCACGCCACATCACACCCATCCAATAGAGTTTGGCTGCCCCTGCCAATAACACTAACTGCCCCTTTACTACAAAAGATCTCAAGGATTTTCCTGCTGGTGCTAGGATCGTTGCTTTTATGTAGCCCAGTACAAGATTTTGTTTTCTGGTTGTACAACGAATCGCAAAAACATCAGGGTTGCCTGTGCTGCCGGATCAGCTAGTCCTGTCTGCGAGCTCGGACCGGTGCCAGTTATCATCCTGAGCTGGATGAGCTGAACAACGAGCTGTGGACCATAAAAGCAATAAGTACAATCAAACATTCTTGTGCGGTTGGATGGAGAGATCGTGGGCACCTTGTTCATTACTAGAACGGCCTTTTCTTGCCACATACACACACACACTGCATTGTTCAGAAAATGCATCGGATGCTACATTTCAGCTGGGATCAGTATAAAATGGGCATCTTGCGGGTGGGAAGCAATAACAATATTTTCTATACATGCAATTTCTTTGTTACACTTGAAGAGCTATGTGTCATATTCCCTGGAGTTTCTACAATGAAATAAAGCTAAAAGATGCCGAGGCGTTCAACATGCCATATACAAACTCTAAGACTTCATCTAAGAAAGAGAACTGCCATACCCCCAGTCTGGGGCGAGTGATTTTATTATTCTTATGTATTTATTTTTTTAATTTTGATTTTATTGCTCTGTGCAAATCGGTATACGTCGCTGCGATTTCTGTGTAATTGCACTGCACTTTATTTCGACCTGAATTCTTGTTTATATTGGTTCTCCTACCTTTTTATACACATTAAAAGAAAGTATTTAAATATGAAAGAAGTGACTCCATTCATTTTGTTGCTTGTATGTTATATTTCCAGGTGGTATTGAAGCATACTGTCTTACTCTGCTAGCATCTGATGTCCTTCTGTATCTATTTTAAAGTTCTGTCATCGTCATACAGATCCCAGGCCTTGGGACAGCTGTGAGATTCATCCAGGTGATTAAATCCAATCCAGGGTACTCACTTTGTGGATCTTGTTCACTCTCATGCAGTCCTTTGACTCCTCCAGCACCTTTTACTGTTTTTTTATGCTATTAATTGTCAATGCAAACAATTAACAGAGTGGTTGTGTGGTGTTCCAATCCTGCTATGGATGATTTGTGGTTCCCTGAATTCAAACCGTGGATCTCCAGTCCAGTCCAGTTTCCGAATGGCTGTTGTGCTCAAGTGCACAACTTGCAAGGAGCCAGAGGATTTCTCTTTCCACCTCAGCCCTTAATGATCTAAATTAACTAATTGGCTGCCTACTGGGGAAAAGTTGAAGCCTTTCCTTGTGCTGGAGAAGCTGGAGATTTAAAGACGCAGGCACAGTGCTGCCTCACAGACTGGGGGCTCTGGGTTCAACTCCTGGCCTGGGGTTTTGTGTGTGTGGAGTTTGCATGGTTTCCCTGTGTTCAAGTGTGCTTCCTCCCACAGCCCAAAGACATGCCGGGATGTTAACTGACTTCTGGGAAAATAGACCCTGGAGTGAGTGAGTGAGTGTGTGTGTGTGTGTGTGTGTGTCTTACATCTCTTCAGGGTGTATCCTGCCTAGTGGCTGTTGCTTGCTGGGATAGGTTCCGCCTCCCCCATGACCCTGAATTGGAAGAAGCAGTTAGAAAACGGATGGAAAGATAGAGCACCTGTGGGACAGTAACCCTCGGGGACCAGGGTTGGGCTCCCCAGGCTGTTGTGTCTGCAGTGTGTCTCTTCCTCAAACCAGGATCCCAGTGGATCTGGAGAGCCCCAGTCCAGTTTAATCCGGTTATTATTAAAGGATCACCTATAAGATGACTAAAAAAAAACAGTTGATTAAAAAAAATCATCTGTTGTTCAAATATTAGATATTACATCAGATGTCCTAATGGAAGGAGCTCTGGTCCTTGAAGGCTGAAGAACATGCTGTTGGACTTTTGTTCCAAATGATCTCTATGTTGGGACAGCACAGTGGCACAGTAGTGAGCATTGCAGCCTTGCGGCATTTCCTGGGTTCTGGGTTCAATTCCTGGAATGCTGTCTGTGTGGAGTTTGAATGTTGTCCCCATGTTCGCCTGAGTTTCCTCCCACAGTCCAAAGACATACTGGTAGGTTAACTGACTGCTGTGAAAACTGGCCCTGGTGTGAGTGTGTGTGTGTGCCCAGCGATGGACTGGGATCCCATCCAGGGAGTATCCTGCTTTGCACCCATTGCTTGCTGGGATAGGTTCCGGCTCCACCGCGACGCTGAATTGGACAAAGCTGTTAGAAATGGAATGGATAGATGATCTCTGTGTTGCTTAATTAAACAGTTATTTAATTAATAAAAATGTAATTCTTCCAAGCCTTTAGAAATGGATGATTTAAAGGTTCCATAAAAAACCTCCAAGACCAGGGTTGGAGACTCCCTGCCATAGAAACTAATATTTATCACTCATGAGGCAGGTTTGAGGAGGCATTTAAGAATTCTGGCTTGTACAGAAGAGTACTGTATCCCTCCCTCACACACCAAACGGTTCATTAACTCATCGAGACTACAATTGAAGAACGAGGATCAGGTTAATTAATTCAAGTGAATTCATTTCTCTTTTCCCTCAGCTAACCAAAAGAACGAGTGATAACAAACACCTGTGACTGAAGCAGGCTCGTTAATTGGAGGACTACATTAATTGTTTTCACCTGAGGGTGAACCCAGTACGGGTTAAGTCGTATTACACTTCGAAGACAGAAGGACAATATAAAAGCTCGAAGGGCGCCTTGTGGTAGATGTGTCTCTGGATCGCCGCTGAAATGGGGAGTGCCGGAGGTTTGCTCTGTCTCGTTCTATGTCTGCTTTGGCTGGAGGAAGGTACGTTAGATGAATTCATTCTTCACCTGTTGGCGGCCGTGGCGAAACTGAGTTGTTAAAGCAGCGCACGGAAGAGTGGGGGATTTCTTTTCTCGAAGCTTCTCCACTTCTCCCAAAAACCGCCCCCCAAGCCCGTCGATGCTGTGTGCGTGAAAGACCGCTTTAGATCATGCATGTATCCGAGCTGCCCTGCTTTCCAGGCAAAACTAACACCTTAAAGTGACGCGCTAGTTTCGTAAGAAACTGACCGTCGCCGCCTTGTACTCGATCGGAGTAATTCGTTTGATTGTCTGCAGGGACGATGAATTGGTGAACGCGCTCCCTTTACTAGGAATCTCCTTGTTTGGCCCCAAGCTCTCTGGGGATAAGCTACCCAGAGATACGGATAAGCGTACTTTGACTACTACGTAAAACGCGGACTGGACAGGGGACTCGGACGCCGTTAGCGCGTTGGCACGAGGAAGACCACGGCCCTTCCCTTGACCTCAGTTGGTCTGGGGGGGGTCCACTGGGATAGACTGCCCGATCGGCCGTATCCTTGTACGGAAACCATTGCTGTATTGTTTGTACATCGTGTGTTCCTCCAGCCTAAACTCGCTGTGTATCTCTTCCCCCGTAGCTGTTTCATTACCGCTGGGGAGAACGTCCGTATCAGGCGCGCGAGCGCGGTACGGTTTCCGGTCACGGAAGGACTGGTGGGCCCGCTTTCACAGAAAAGGTATCCTCACTTCCTCTGCGCTTTGGAAATTGCCTCGGCTGTTGCTGCTGCGGACTATTGACTACAACTCTTTGACTTCCTCCGCTCCAGCCTCCATTCTGAATGAGGCAGTAGAGGAGAGTCCAGGAGCGGCTTTGGCTTCTCTCAAGGCCATAGATGACCTGCATGACATCCATACAGGCAGGTGTTCACACCCGGTCATGGATGCCACTTGCTCCTATTACTGGACTACTAGCAAATCATAGGCTTAATTCAGCGGTGCAGTGGTTCATGCCTACAGAAAGCAGTATTAGCCATATTGCTGTCTAATTCTAGCCGTTCTCTGTAACTCATCAATATGACTACTTCTAGTTCCAGTGAAATGACCTGTCCTCTTCTGAATGTGACGAAATCTCCACAGGCTTCCTGAAGTCCTCCTCCAGACAGGCTGTGCTGCAGGATTCTGGGCTACAAAACTCTTCCAGCTCCCCTCTGCCCTCATCCAGTCCTGCAAGCCATCCTTCTTCCATAGGACACATGTCAGACTCATCCTCTGCTGTTGCACAAACTACAGTGGTCCCGATAGCAGCAGTTCCTACAGAGCCGGCTGAGCTACAGCACACCTCTAGGACTGAGGCTCTCGGGGCCTTGGTGGAGCCTACAGGGCCCGCTACTGAACACTATCCCTCTAGTTCAGAGCTCCACTTGGTGGAGGCTACAGGGGGCAGTACTGAACACTATGCCTCTAGTACTGAGGGCCA